GCCTGAGGCCTGGAAGAAAGCCAGTGTCACCTTAGTCTTCCAACAGGGGCAAGCAGGAGGAGCCAGGGAACTCCAGGCCTGTCAGCCTCACCTGCATGCCTGGAAAGGTGATGGAGCAGCTCATGCTGGAGGTGATCTCTAAGCATGTGGAGGACAAGAAGGTGATCGTGAGTAGTCAGCATGGATTCACCAAAGGGAAAGGATGCTTGAGCAATCTGATGGAATAGCACTCCCTGATGGACTGACTGGCTGTGTAGAGGAGGGGAGAGCAGTGGATGTTGTCTCCCTGGATTTCAGCAAGGCTTTGGGCACTGCCTCCCATCACATCCTCCTAGGGAAGCTCAGCAAGTGTGGGTTGGATGAGTGGACAGTGAGGTGGATTGGAGAACTGGCTCCAGAGGTCAGGGTTGTGGTGAGTGGCGCAGAGTCTAGTTGGAGGCCTTTGTGCAGTGGTGAGGAGGCAAAAAAAGCGTTGCTCTTTTGGGGAATGTTTTTTTTCCTCCATTTTCCTCTTTACAAGAGCCTAGGAAGATTAGTCTCTTAATACAGTTATTGAACCTAGAGTGAATGCCTCCATTTCTGTCAGTAACTTTCTTTCTGCAAAGCACAGATGGAAAAAAATATAGAATAAAGGGTACGTATAACGAGGAACGAAATTTAAGACAAGGCATATTTAAGATGCCAAACTTAATGACTCTGTAAAATCACGAGAGTAAGAAAAAAGGCCTCAGATCACACAGGTGAAACTGAATTTTCAATATTTTTTTTCTTCCTTTCTATCAGAATAGTATTGCTCTAAAGCATAATTAAATTTTTATTAATTAACTCGGAATTTTACTTGTCTTTGTTTCAGAACTGAGCATTTACTGTGTCTGAGAAACTAATATAGATAAGAATTGGCTACCTAAATTTGAGTTAGGGTGATTTTGTTGCATATTATTTTTTTTATATATATATAAAAATATATATGTTATAAATCCAAACTATGATCAGAGTTGATCTCAGTGTTAGATACAGTAGATCATGTAAATATTTTTGCATATCATTTGTTTCTGCGTCTTTGAAGACATAAATTCCTTTATTCAAATAGAAAAATTGATTTCATTTGCAGAATCGGCTTTATTGCAAAGAAGTCTGAATTGCGTACATTTGATACCTGGGCGTAGCATGGTATTTCCTATGCTTTCCTTATTGCAATCCCTGAACTAACAGTGGAGAGATTGCTCAGCAGGCATAGCCAGCTGCATGTAGCTGGCACCAGTGAGTGGACACACCTTTTGGCTATGAGTGATACAAATATTACTTGACTTTTTTCTTCCCTTCTCTCTCCAAGAATTCCTGTATACCCACAACTTCTCCGTACCTCAGTAATAGATTTTTGTGGGTGCAGAGAGTGATCAAGGAGCAACATCTTTCTCGTGTTTGAGGAGGCAAGAATCTTTGCTGTGACTTTACATTGAAGAGGAAACAATTTTGTACGCTTATGCACATATAATCAGCGCTAATATGCGGGGAACTAGGTGAATTGTTAAACGCCTCTGGAGGAAAAAACATTTTTGTCTAGTCCTTGAGTGAAAGTCATGAAAATCTATAGTTGGGTCTTGTATATTGTTAAGTAAGTGGTGTTGCTCTGGAGCTGGAACTTGGAGTATGCACTGCCAGTTTAATGTATTGCCAGCTAATAAGAATTACTACCTTTTAACACCACTGAAACTGTGACTTAAATTTTATTGCTTTTCCTTATCTTGTAATGCATGATAATCTCAACTTTTTTTCTCCTGGAAACGGAAAAGAAAGAAAAAAGGGAAAGAAAAAAGGGCTTTGGCAATTGAATGCTATAAGCTCTCCTTGGTTTTTGTTATCTAGTCAAATTACAGGTTGGTGTACTGAATTCATCTCAATAGGAACGTATATGCTGTCATTTGTTTCTTTTCTCTCAGACTCTTATTGTAGCTTGGATCAGAGCAAATCTCAGCGTTTACATTTCCCGCGAGCTCTGGGATGAATTGCTCAGTGTTTTGTCTTCCCTTACTGACTGGGAGGAGCTGATAAACGAATGGGCCAATATTATGGATTCTCTAACAGCAGTGTTAGCAAGAACAGTGTATGGAGTTGAAATGACGAACTTACCCTTGGATAAGCTGAGTGAACAAAAAGAAAAAAAGCAGAGGGGAAAAGGTTAGTCTGTGTGTTTCAGTTCTTTTAATATCAAATAAGTTAAATATTTTTAAAAAATTAAAAATTAATTTCATTTAATCTAAAATTAAATGCCACACAATCTATTATGCGAATCTGTTTAAACAAAGGTGAAGTGCTTCGGATTTTTGTGTTCCTATCCTTCATTGTGAGAGGAAAGGGAATAAAAGTCAATAAAAGGTAACTATTCAGCGGTTTTTAATAGGAGCTCAAAATCAGTCTTTCCTGTGTAGCAGGATTGAAACATGTTGTTTCCTGTGCTGTGATCTTGCATGGTCATCAATGTCAAAAATTATTTCAAAGTACTTTTAACTTATTTATATAGTATTTTAACTATATTTTTGTGCCATCTCGCAGTTGATACACCTAGCTGAAGTAGTGATTGTTTCTTAATAATTGTAAGAACTCATCTGTGTAGACTAAATGATTAACATTTTTCGTTTCCCTTTGCTTATAAATCGGTTCTTACTGTAGAAAAATATGTGCCAAAACACCCAATACTAGAGAATTTTTTCTTTATATCAAAGGTGGAATTTTAGAGCCTCAAAAGACAGCTGTAGTGGGAAGATCTTTTTCATTAAGCTGGAAAAGTCACCCTGAAGTTGTGGAGCCAATGAGATTCAGAAGTGCTACCACCTCTGGAGCACCAGGAGTTGAGAAAGCAAGAAATATGGTTCGTCAAAGAGCAACAGGTTAGACCCAAGCATAAATATTTATCTCCTCAAACTTCCCACAGCACTCAAGTTCTAAATCTGCCTTTGGGTTGTGAGCGCTTCTGAAAATGGTGAAGCTTAATTAAAATGTCTGAACAGAGACTTCACATACGTATGTCTGGATGTCTTGACCCCTACCAGTATGAATAAAGAATCAAAATATTCTGGAGAAATGCTAAGGGCCTTCTTTTAAATGCATTAGAAATTCATTGCAAGATAATCATGTGCAAGTTATATTTTTTGTAAGGAAATTGAAGTACATTCCTATTTTTCATCAGTCCGTTACAAAGGATTTTTTTAACATCATGCAGATTACATATTGTTTGTGAACTTTCATACAGTTAGCTATCTACCATGAGCAAAAGGTAAACTGGGTAAACCAGGTATTTAATAAACATTTTCGTCCTCTCTTATTCAGTTTATTTGCCTTATTCCTCCTTTCTTATTTGGTTTATTTGTCATGAGGTGTATATATAGCTCCTCAATTGCCTTTTTTCTCTCCTCTTTACTTTTGGAAAGAAAGAAGAAAGCATAAGGGAAAACAGGAGAGAGGGGAAACAGGAGTGAGGAATGGTGAGGTATGTCTGAGTCCCCAGGTGTTGAAAGGACACCAGATTTTTCAAGCATTCCAGCAGCCTGAATTTGACCTGTTCTCATTTCCCATGAATGTGTGTCTGTGGTCCCAGTTCAATGGGCTATGGAATAAAACCCTCAATAGAAAATCTTCCCTGCTTTTGAATAGGTATTTTGCTGCACAGCTTCCTTTCTGGTTCATAACAGATCAGTAGTGTTACTTGCCAGGAAAATTTGAAGGTGATTTCAGTATGTTTTTGTGGCTATAGGCTTCAGAACTAAGCCACAGTCTTCAGCTTAGATCACAAAAAGTTCTGACATTTGAAACTCTGTATCAGTTCATTCTTCCTGTCTAATTAATTTAAGTGAACTTGTATTTGTGCTCCAGCAGAGGTGTTGCTGGAACATTAAGATTCTAATTCCTTGTTTTCTTTTGCTATAGCATTTCTTTTGCAGACCTGTCACCAGAGCAGTAGATAAAACATGGAAATATTGATCAGCAAGGACTTTTCTTGGTTATGTGCGTTCAAATTAAAGGCACTTCTTACCTTTAACGGGAGAAACTTACATGGTAGGGAGCAAGTGGGTTGTCAGCTAGGAGGATGAACTTTGCATGTTGAACTTTGTACCCTTAGTTTCATTTTGCGTCTTGTGATCATATGAAAAAAGAATTCTTCTGGCCTTCGTGTGATTTGTGGTTGTCGATGGCTGCCAAATCAGTAGGTACAAAAAATGTTATTTGCACATGCAGATATAGCAAAAAATTCTTTCAGCAGTGTAAAATGCATATCCCTTTTCTAAGAGTTAAACGATTTAGAAACATATTGGAACCTAGTAGCTAAGACTCCAGAGGTGTCACCTTTCGGAATGAAATACAGTAGTCCCTAAGGTGATGACAAACATGAGGGCTATTCATGGAAGAACTTTTTCCTCAGCAGAATGGAAATTCTGGAAAAATATCTACTACTGGAGGCTTTTTCCCCTCAGCCTTCTCCTTCCTCTTTTTAAAAGAAGCACAAAGAATAAAAGGAAAAAAAGGAGAGGGGGGAGCATACAAATATAAGAGTACCTGCTGTTTCCAGGCATAAGGCTTTCTTTTGATCTGCTGCTTAAATCTGGAGTAACAGTGCAGTTACATCTGAATCACAACACTATGAACTTCTAAGATATTGGAAGGACTTCCATTTGGTATTATAGCTGTGTATCTCATGTCAGTGTGAGGAGATAATACAGCAAATACAAAAGCACACCTAATTGTCATTCTAGTGCCATCGAGGTCCAAAAACATCAACTGTTAAAAGCTGTAGACCAAGCCTGCAAGAAAAGATGTAGCCACCTTTTTAGGAAGATGAAAAAATAGGAGATAGAAGTTGGGGAATGCTTTCAAAATAACTTCTCGTATGTTTGCAGAGGCAGTCTTTCATTCAAAGTTCATTTAGTGTTGTTCTCAAATAACTTAAATTTCAGTGTTTTTGTTTTGCAGCAGCAGAAATTCTTTTCCTACCACGCTATTTGACTATTTTTGCTTCCTTTCTCTCTTTTTTTCTAAGTATCAATGTTGACATTGTAGTGAACAAGAAGAGAGGCTGTACAGCAAATAAGGTGTTTCTTGCCTGATAACTTTCTGTTAGAGGCTTCTCTTATTCAGCGCTATTTTTAGTAGTACAGTTGATGGTAAATTGATGTTTTTCTCTAAAGGCAACTTTGAACTTGAAGCAATTGGATATTAATTGATTTAATTTGAAGTTTTTATCTTAATGATGCTAATCACCTTCTAGAGTGGTAGTCACTTTAGAAGATGTTCTTCTAGTGGCCTGAGATAGTATTCAATCCACTAATTAGAAAAACGGCTACTCCCAGTTCCACAGGAGAGCTATTTACCTTTCTGTTACACATCATGAGAGAAGCTGCCAACAGAAGAACACTGGATACAAAATTTAACATTTTGCTGTCTCTAGACTTTTTTTTTATTATTATTCTCATTGTGCAAAAGTGCAAAGGATCAGCAATATTTTGAGTGCTGCTATCAACAAGGGAAAAGAATGAAGCCAATCACCAGAACTTGCCCTTTTCTTAACCATCTTGCTGTCTGTAGTGGAAAGAGCTCTCTCTATTTCTTTTCCTTTTGAATCTTTGGCTATGAATTTGTCCATGATGCTTTAAATTTGTTTGTGCAGAAGGTTACATTCACAAAGACAAACCAGGGAGATGAAGCTCTGCAGTTTTGTATGTAGTAGTCATCTCTTCCATCTCAAGTTATTTATACGTTTATGTGCTTGTAAGCCAATATGGCTTTAGAGATTGCATGGTTCAGTTATGAAATAAAATATAGTGCAAGAAAATAACATTCTGTTTTAAGTGAGCCACTCATGCCATTGGTGAGAACTTGCACAAATCCTGGAAGCACTAGTGGAAGTAGTAGCACTTCCACCTTTCATTTTAACCTCCCATTTTAACTCCTGATTTTTTCTTTTATAAGAAATATGTGTATGTGTGTATGTACATATATAAATGTATAATACGTAGTTATATATATAAAATATCTGGACTACTTCTTTAGATAAATTTTACAAATGATAAATAGAACCTGTTCTGTAATTGCAAAAGTTCTATTTCTGTAATTAAAGAAATAGCAGCAAAGCAAATAGTATTGCTCTTTGAATATAAGCAACTCTTCAACTGTCATTCCCTTCCCTCCTTCCTTCATTTCACATTTATCTTGATTTTCTTCCTCAGTAGGGCTAATAAGGACATCATATTTATAACATGTTGGTACGATCATGAAGTTCTGCAAAAGATTTAATTTTTAGTAGAAGTGGATTTAGTGAATGATTCCATCTAAAAATAATTCATTTCCCCAAGTCGAAAGTAGGTGGTGGGAGCCAGCCTTTGAAGAGTGTTGGAGGTTTTGACATTCTTAGAATCTCGGTTTACTAGCTTGTCTTGCAAGAGCTCCTTTTTTCCTTATGGAAGATATAAGTTTTAGTGGACAACAACCACCCTGACTCCAGTCCTACCCTTAAGAAATACCCAGCCTTTGCAACAGAAGTTCCTAGTGATAATTGAGTTCTGTGGCAAAGGATTCAAGTTTGCAGTCAAACACTGTACCTTGTATGACGCAGGATTTTCTAAGAAAATGTTCGCCCATAAAGGTTTTGATTTTTTTTTTTAAAGAAGTTCACTAAGATGTTGCATTCAAACTGCAGTTACTCTTTTCTGCCTTCATTTATGGTGACTTGAGAAAGAACTATACCCCCTTAACGTAACTTGCATCTCTTTCATCATCCTGTTTGTAAATGTGGAAAGGAAAACTCAGTACACCAAAAACAGGAGTCCATGTGATAATTTAGGTTGTAAGAGACTTTAGGAGGTCGTCGAATCCTCTGCTCAAAGCAGGGTCAGCTATGAGGTTAGTCCAGGTTACTCAGGGTTTTCTCCAGTCTGGAGCTGACATATCCCTAGCAAAGATGAATGAATGTAACGGGGGGCTAGATTTTTCTTTTTTTTTCTCTTAGCGATTGAATGCACCCCGTCTGTTTCTTCAGTCACCTATCTCAAGCAGCCATTCTGAACAAGATCAGATAGTGAGTTAGATTCTGGTACAGGACACTTAGAACTGATGCCTTACGAGACTGGTTCTCAAAGGAATACTCTACGCGTTTTCTCATGCAGAGATCTGGAATCCCATTAACTCAAGGAATGAATAACAGTAAAATCCAGATGTAAATATTGGCCTTGATAGGGTGAGGCTTGTTTCCTTGAACAAGAGCCCTTATCAAGTTATCTGAGCTGTGCGTACTCTCAACTTGTGGATCCACTGCATAAAGGTGCTGTTCCCATGAGGCTCTTCATACCCTTGGAGCATAACCTGTTTAACTAAGGCAATCTCTTTTCACTTGTTTTGTCACAAATTTTAGACAGGCAAATTCTATGACTTCATGGATCAAGTAGTGCATCAGAGAAAACATGCCAGGTAGATCTGCTTCTGACATAATGGAGGCCTATACCTGAGTGTATATGACAGATAACCGTATTTGTTGGATAGAAAGCTTGTGCTTTTACTGAGGAAGTTGGTAAAGCAACAGGACATTGTTTTATATATTTAGATGTGGTCATCCTGAAATGTCATTTAGGTCTTTCATCTCATGGGGAGATCCTTTCTGCCTCATTATATTTACTGTCCAGCTTACTTTTCACTACTTCCTGTATATATGCAGTGTAACAGGAGATGCTGGGTTGCTACAGAAAGGGAAAGTTCTTACTGGTAAATTCCTCTGTTATCAACATCTTCCATAACTGCAGCTTTTCTAAACAGTTTCATAGCCACAGGAGAAAATATGTGTTGTTAGTATCTCCGATACATAAGCCAATTTAGTCCATGCACTCAGTTTGCTTGTTGTTGTTGT